AAGGGCGTCGACGAGGCACTAGAGGAGGAAAACTACGGCGAGGAGGTCCAGGGCGAGGACTGAGCTGCGAGATACCAAAGCGGAGGAGAGCATATGCGCACCTCGTTTACTCCCATTCATCGCCTTTATACGTTCTACCGAACACTATATACCGGGTATTAGAAGAGAGAAAGAAAAAGTCAAGCCAACTAACATAAAACTGTCACCAACACAAATAACCCCGACCGATGCATATGCTAGAAAACAAAATCACGTCGAGCAAAACGGCCAGAAGGAAAAGGGCCGGATAGTTTTAGAAACCACGTCCCCAGCTGGGTGCTTGCACCCGCTCAGTCCTCTGGCCAGTCGCCTTGCTCAAACAGCCATAATGCACAACCGTGTTGTCGGGCAGCACGGCGACGACGCTCCCGCCCGTCCGCATGCCACCGCCAAACCTCCTGTGACACACGACGCAGAGCTTCTCGTCGGTAATAACGACATGTCTATGGCGGCCCCCCTGGCCGTCCTCTATCTCGTCACCGAGGTAGAGCCGCGCTGCAATTGAAATACCCTCTGCCTCTCGCAATTTAGCAACAATCCGTGACTCGTTGACGAGACTGTTGGCTGCTCGCATTCGCCCTCTGAAGTATGACTCAAGTTCGCCCACTGGCAAGTCGTCGGGGATCAGACCCAGCGTTGACGCTGCAGGGAGGCGAGACCCATGCTTCGAGAGCAGGTCCAAGGCCGGTGCGAGCTTGGGCTTCTGTGGAGGAGCTGGTTTGAGATATATCGATAATAGTGTATGATAAATAGAGAGGTCATCATCATTCGACGACGAGCCGTCGACCCCATCTTCGACGGCCGCTGCTTCCTGTGACAAATGAATCCGATTACAGTAACTGTTGATGTTAGCTTTCGGACACCTCACCAGTGTAAAGGGGCGAGGGCTTACTCTTCTGCTTTAGCGTAGTCTTGCATGCTATCAACATATATCTCGAGTGCTTGCTTGTGCTGTCCCATGTTACTAAGAACAATGGCTCGACCCTCGTAAAAAGACGGGTCTGGAATTGGTCAGCTCTACTGGATTCGTGAATATCGATTTCAGAGCCCTTACCATCTCTTGGGATCAATCCAAACGCCTTCGTCAAGCTGTATACCTGCCTCGACTCTCGGAGGAACTTCATGAACTTCTCCATCTCCTTATCCCAATCCTCGCCTCGTTCCTTCTTGGCAAGGTTTTGAACGTACAGCTCCACCAGTCTATTGTGGAAATCCGGGGTCATATCCCCCATTTCCTCAATGATGTGAGCCAGGTATTGGGCCTCGAGCTGAGGTCCCTGCTCGCGCAGAAATGCGAGCACCTTGTCTCGCGGCAGTGTCTCCGCGTTCTCCGTGTCGCCTGTAAAGATCTCCATCGCATACTCTGGATTCTCTTCAAGCACCCACTTGGCATGCTCGAGAATAAGATCAATCTCCGACGGCGGGAGGCCCTCTAAATACCATATTGCGCGATCCGGGCCATGCAGCGTGGGTGCGGCCGGGTCTGGCTTGGTTGCAGTACCAAACTTCTTAAGGAGCTCCAGGGCCTCTCTGTGGAGTTTCTTGCCCTTGAAGAAATCAATAAGCTCGTTGTAGCGGCTGTGCTCCAGAAGCTTCTCGTTGACGACATCAGGGTCGCAGAAATTGGGGAGACGGAATAGTGAGCCCGCGAGCGTAGGTGATGAGAACATGTAAGCACGGAATAAGGCTGTGTCGACGATGCGGAACGTCTTCTGGAGCTCCGCTTCCTGCTTCTTCTCGTCGTCCGTCTGAGAAAGTCGCAGAAACTCCTCGACGTCAATCTCGGTCCCCGTGCTTGTTTTGGACGCAGGCTTCAGCTTCCCTGTTGCCGGGTCTATCAGCCTCTGCAAGCGAGCTCGGGTTCCGGCCAAGTAGCTATTCAGAGCCTTGACCGCATTGGTCAGGTCCTTCCCATGGAGAGGGCCATCCTCAGTCTTGACCGAATTGTTGGCGTCGTCGGTATCCTCGGCGTCCTTCGACTCCCTCCTTGAGGAGGCAATCGAGGCGGCGTCGGCCGGAATTCCCCTACGGCTCCCAAACAGCTTGGCAAACCCGCCGATAGTCTGGGGCGACGATGGGTCAGGAGATTCCGTGGCAGGGCTATCCCCATTGGTTTTATCCGCCGCTGCGTTCTCTGTCTCTCCACCATCCTCTTCTTCTTCTGGACTGTAGCCGTACCATACAGACAACTCCCCAGAGATTTCGGGTGGGTATAGTTTCAGAACTCGCTCAGGCGGTGCGTGCACATCATCTTCATTGAATAAGTCGAGACTCTTTTCGTATTTCTTGTCCTTGAACAGTCTCTCCGCCTTCATCATCTTGACTTCTCGGAGCGTCCCTGCCTTATCCTGAAGAAGAGCATCCTCCAGCATGTTGAGCAAGCTGATGGCTTCGTCGAACAGGGAACCACTGACCAGCTCCTGGACCTGGCTGTCATAGTCTGTAGCACCCAGTTTCCAAACGCATCGCTCACTCGATATGTGGAACCCCTTTGCGTGAGCTAGGCTCACCGTTGGGGGCAGGAAATGGAGCTGAGCTGCACCAGGAAGAGAAATAGTCTGAAGAAGTGAGAGGGTATCAGGATTCCGAACCTCGAGAAAACCCTTGGACGGCGGCTGAAGGGCGAGGATATACGGGTACGAATACCCGACAGACTCGGGAGCCGCCTGCCAGGGAACCTGCTTCTTCTTCTCGATGGGCTGGCCCTTGTCGTCAATAAACATGGAGTTGATGTCCTTGGCCAGGAGCATCTCTCCATCGGCCAGTTTAGCAGCCAGCGGTCTCGGCATGTAACCACCAAGGCCCATATAGCCCATCCCCGCGCTGCTGACGGCGCCAAACCGGCTGCCTTGGCCGTTGGCCGCCAACGTACCCGGACTAATGATGTCCTCCACCTCGCGCGTCAGGACGTCGACCATCACGTAGCCGCTGTTCATGCCGCAGACCAGCTTGGTTGCGCTCGCCCAGGTCACGGATCGGATGGTGTCGGACAGGGTAACCTCCCCCACGTGGTCGCTCAGCTCACTCTCGTGCCAGCTCCAGAGAAGCAACCGCCTCTTCACAGCAACGGCCAAGCGGCTGATGATCTCGGGGATCCCAGTGTCGGGGTCCTTGACAATATTGGACGTGACGGCGAAGCACGAGGCATTCTTCGTCCGGCCGAGCGTCTCGACGAGCTCGTACGTCTGGAGGTCGTGGAAGGAGATGTGGTAGTTGGAGAGCGAGATGATGATGCTGGCCTCCTTTATGATGGCAAGCTGCTCTATCGCCCTACTGGAGAACTTCTCGACCTCGCGCAAGAGATCCGTGGGCTTCACGGGCGCAGTCGGGTGTGCCTCGCCGCCATTCTGAGGACCGGCGGCGGGGGCGTCGCCGTTGTTCGCAGGCGGGTGGGAGCCATTCGTGGTCGGGGGCGGCTCGTTGAGCCGGTATATTCGAAGCGTGCCGCTGTTCAGGCCGACGAGCACGCGGTCACCTATCGCGAATTCACAAGCCAGCTGTCAGCAGAAATGCTCCCGGGAAACGCAAGAGGGCGAGGCTCGGGGGGGTGTTACCGTTGGCAAGGATCGTCTCGATCTTGGACTTGTCCCGCTGCCGGAGCTCGATGATGGGGCGCGCGGTAAATGCTGAAAGCATTGCGCCGGCCAGCTTGGAGCTGATGCAACTACGCGGACATCAGATGCATCAGAAGGTTTCCGGTGCGAGGGGCTGGAGGGCCGGGAAGGGGGCGCGGGAGAATTGGGGTGCGTGTGCTTGAGGGCGTGTTTGCGGCGATGGCGAGAAGAGAGACGGTTTGCTCCGGGCCTTTGGTATGGCAGCTGAAGACGTCACACGGTCGGGAGATGGAGCAAAGGCGCCGCAGCCGCTCTGGCGGTGGCATGTACCCGGTACCTGGCAGCCTAGCCCGTCTCCCCGTCCCACCGCTGCAGCCATCTGCTGTCACCTCTCATCTCAGGCCGCCGACACCGTTCTTCGGCTGAAGCTGTCAATGCCTGCGAATGCTGATCTGTGTAGGCCCCGCTAACTACCGATTAACCAATTCCAATGGGCATTCCCGGAGGTGTGTTTGCCTGTCTCAGGTCAGTCAGACAGATGCACCTTCAAGGATCACCAGTGGCCTGTGGCTTCCACATATAGAGGCCTAAAGCCTACCCAAAATATGAAATCAATTCACGTATTTATATGCATTTAGTATGAGCATGCGAGCCTTGTCTACCTACATTTAAACATATTGACAAATGTACCTTGAAGTAAGATTTACCATGTTCAGCTGGTCTCCAATATCGAGGTAGATACGGGCTACCCTAGACATCACTCTGATTCCGCCTACCTAGGTATCCTCATATATAGTTTTCAAGTCAATGAGATAGCAAAACACTCGACGCGTATTGTTCAATTTTCTTTGTTAATCATGCACTTCATGAAGTATTGTGAATTTGATACTGCTATGTGGGAGATAATCCTATCATAGCAAGCGTCAGTTCTAATTGGGCTGTCGAACTACTTGCTGTTCAAACTTACCGCCATAATTGCCCAAGTACCAGTGACCGACCCATCAGGCGACCACAAAGGACATTTTAAGTTAACTGACCCATCTCCAAGCCCAATTGCCGGCAGGGGGCTTTATGCAGGGCTCGTCACATTGACACCTAAAATGGTGGGCTGCATATGTTTGATACCTGATGGCAATTCTCCTTATGATTGATGTAAGGCAGTCTGCTATGTAGCGTGCAAACAACCCCCCCACGATATCTTGATAGACATATTAAAAGCTTCTAATAACAAAAAATGAAGTTCCAGGCCCTACACAGTAGATATTCATGTGAATAAAGGTGCCATTCTTGATGCGCGCAATATATATTCGTGTCCAAACTCGCGAGTCTGAGACCGTCCGCTCTGGATAAGCTATATTTCTGAGGGGCAGCTGGTTCAAGGGGAACCAATGCCGCGCCATACATGGTTTAATCAATACCGGCAAGCTGCATAATTCCATAGCCAAGGGATACAACGACGGCCAGGGTGATGAAACTGCTGGGCACACCTCTGCTGATGAAGTGCTTGACCTGCAGGTATCTGTGCCCGGCTGGATCCTCCTTCATGATAGCGGCTGCGTTTCACGGTTAGCATCGTGCTCTTGGACGGTGGATGGCAGGGGAAAGGGGGAGACATACTCATGTTGGGGAAACCACTGGTGGGGAGACCCATGGCAGCGCTGCACATGAGCACGCCGGCCATGACCAGGAGGTTGGGATGTGGGAGATCCATAGCGGCACCCACGTCGTAGACGAGGGGGAGGAAAATGACGGCCGCGACGGTGTGGCTGATGAAGGTGGCAATGACCAAGATTAGGGTCGAGAAGACCACCAGGACACCGTATAGGCTCATGTTCTCGACCTTGGCTGTGACGATTCCTGCGACGGTGTGCAGAAGGCCAGAAGATCGAACAGCCTTGCCAAGAGACAAACCTCCAGCAGCCAGGATGATAATGGTCCACGGAAAGTTGTTGAAGTCCTCCTTGGTGAGAATACCGATGCCAAAAAAGAGAACAATAGGAATGATGGCGATGACTCCCATGTCGCCGAAGACATTCTCCAACTGGTGGCTCGCACACCACAGAGCGATTGTTGCAAAGGTAACAATGGAGACAAACCATTGAACACCAGTGAATTGCTCCTTCACGGCCCGGATGGGTGCAATAGAGATGCCGCGTCCAGGTCGGAACGTAATGAGCAGCAAGAGCCAGATAAGGACGAGGGAGATGGCACCGACTGGGATGACGATGAAGAACCATTGGATCCAGGTTGGAGGGGGCTGCATGATGCCCATGGCGATCACGTTCTGTGGCGATGCAATAGGAGAGAGCATACCGCCGACATTCGATGCCAGGGCAATTCCAATAATGACTGCCTTGGTCATGTCGGAATCAGAAGGTAACGTACGTAGCATAGGCTATAGATTGCGTTAGAAATAGAAACAGAAACAGACCATCAACTCTGATAGGACAGAAGAATAGAACCAAGCTGTGCACTTACCTCAATGATAGAGTAGCAAAGCACAGGGGCTGCTACGTTGCTGATCAACATGGAAGCAAAAGCGGCCACAAACATGTTGGCGATCAGGACCGTGCGAGGCTGCGTTCCCGCCTTGCTCAAGATGAGAGTGGCGAGCCTCTTGTCAATCTTGCACTTTGACAGGGCGGCTGCTAGGGTGAAGCCACCAAGGAGAAGCATGATGACGGGCGTCCACATGGCGGCGAAGATGGCGGTTGTGGCGTCTTTGGAGTTGAGACGGTGATGGTGCTTACCACTACCCTCGTCGCGCACCACATTGAGAAGGACGGAGAGGAAGGGGATGAGAAGTGATGTGACGAAGAGAGGAATTGTCTGTATATGATTAGTTAAGAACAATATAAGGGCGTGTAGACAAACGTACCTCAGTTGCCCAGAGCAGGGATACGAAGACTAGAAGAGCGAGACAGTTTTGCTGTTCTGGCTTCTGCATAATCGGCACGTATAGCAGCGCAAAGAATATCCCAACGCAGATGAAGAGCGTGAGCATTGAAGTATTGGCCAGCCAAGCCGGCAAGTTGAATCGCCCCTTGTGTGATATTTCGAGGAGATCATCGCCTTGAAGTCTCGCCCGGGTCGCATTGGGGTCGTGGCCAAGGAGAGACTGTCCCAACCTGGCAGCCTCTCCCCTGCGCTCGATACCAATCAGGTCTCTCCAGACCGTGTTTCGCTCCCAGACGACGTGCTCTCGCAGGTGCGATCGCAAATCCTTCTTGGCAAGCTCCCGATCACCCCCCGTGACGACATCTGTGTACGCCGTCTCAATCTTGGCAATGTTCTCCTCCAAGACCTTGCGGGTCTCGTCCTTGAACGGGTAGGCAGTGTCGACATTGGTGTGCATGTAGCTGGTCTTGAGCTCCTTATCCAAAATCTTGTCGAACTTTTTCAAGACCTTCCTGAATCCAGTGTTGTTAAGCTGGGTGAACGACTTGAGCTCGCAAAGCTGGACATAGAGACTGATGATGCGCTTCTTGATTACAATGGCGGACGAGTAGAGCTCCGACGAGAAGTACACCGACTGCTCGTTTTCGTCGAATGTGGTGCTCTGTCTCCGGACGGATCGCCCAAATTCAGACGAGGCCGCCATGTCGCCAAGGCTATGGGTACTGGTGCCCATATTCGGCCGTCTGCCCACGCTGCCTTTCCTCGCCCTCGTTAGCCCGGTTCTCTCATCATCATCGCTCGCACTATCCTCCTCGACCTCGTCTTCAGATATGCCAAGTGAGCTGGTCGGGCGCCCAGGATCGCGTTGCCCGTCGTTGGAGGTGAATGGCCGTAGAGGTGCCAGCCCATCCGCTGCGCCAGAGTTGCTGATATCCCGCAGGAGCTGGTTGACCTCGTCGAGGAGCTCTCCCTCCTTGCCCACGTAGAACGAGCATATCTTCTCGAGCTCGATGCCCAGCGCCTTGCTGAAGATCTCCTCCGGGTCCTCGCTTGGTATTAAAGGTCGTGATTCGGCATCGCCCGACCGGGTATGATGGTAAGACTTCTCAAGTTGGTAGATTCTAGGTGATGTCAGCATTCAGCTCAGCCATCTCTGGGAGGGCGATAGGTGACGAGAATTCCCCGGTGACTTACAGCTTCTTGAGGTTGCTGTACGCTATGTAATGGCTGCTCCAGTCCGGAACAGCATTGAACTGGATGCTGTGGGAGAACTTCATCTCGTCTCGTTCTTCGAGCCAGGCCCGTTTCTGCGCGCGCTTCTCCTCTTGTCGCTCCCTGCGCTTCTCGCCTTCCTGACGAGCCGCGATGTCGCTGTAGTCGGCAAGCTCGAACTGCTCGGCGTCGCCGTCGAGGGCTACGAGAGGGGGGTCGCCGATTGACCGTTGCTTTCGATCCCCTCCTCGTTCGCAGTGGCCGTGGATGGTGGCGGTACCAGGGTCCGGGTCAGGAACAGAGGAGGGATTCCCAGGGCCAGCCAGAGGCGGAATGGTGAAGTTATGAAGAGAGAGGAAAAGAAGAAAGATTCGATTGGCAGTCGGAATTCCCGCGTTTGTGCGAATCCAAGTGGGTTCCGAAAGAGTTTCGCGGTACGGCCGACGACCGCTGGTTTCTGGCTGTGAATACAGTTTCTCAGGGTCAGTCAGTTCACCTAGCGGTGCCTAATTTAGCCACAGATGCACCTTAGCCACCAATGACGACGTTTGGGTGCTGGGCTTGGGCGGCCGAGTGGGTGGTGCAGCGCCAAAAGTGGCCTCCTCCAGGCTCTCAGCTAATGAGGTGCAGGCAGTTGCGCGCTGTACGTTACAGGCTGCTGCGGGCCGCCAGCCCCTTGTTCCAGCGTGCCACTGCATGTGACCTGATCGGAGCAATCTCCAGCTTGCCTGCATGCACCATCCAGCCCTCCGGGACGCAGCCATGTCTCACCTGTCCAGATCACGAGCCCTTGCGGCAGATTTCCCGTTCGCCAATCGAGAGCTCTATTTCGAGCACGTTTTTTCCTTTTCGAAGTAAACAGTGGTCGTTGTTGATGGCTCTGCAACTTCCGATTTCAACATTATCAACACGTGAGGCTTCTTCAACATGGTCAGCTGTGTTGCATTCTTATCTGTGGTATCATTGTTGCTCTCTATGTGACCTGATCCCTGCTATTATTACACCATGTATTACTGCTACCGGATGCCTAGTCCCCCAGCATCTGTTGCAAGGCATTTACTCTATACGTCTCGCTGGTAGCCACCAATTCTTCATGCCGCCCCTTTTCGACCACCTGGCCACCCTCCACCACGAAGATGACGTCGGCCTTGCGGACGGTGTGCAGCCTGTGGGTGATGGCAATGGTCGTGATGCCCCGAGCAGCTCGCTCCAGGCCTTCTTGCAGAGCCCTCTCGCTCTCGGCATCGAGTGCGCTCGTGCTCTCGTCCAGGAGCAGGAGTCGAGGCTTGCGGACCAGGGCACGCGCGATTGCCAGACGTTGACGCTGACCGCCGGATAAGCGAGAGCCGTTGGGCCCGCACTCGGTATCGTACTGGTCGGGGAGTGCCATGATCGTGTCGTGGATGTTGGCCAGGCGGCAGGCTTCGTGGATCTCCTCTTCTGTAGCTTCTTGATTGGACCTGGCACCTAAGCCAACATTGAAACGGATCGTGCCCTCAAACAGGGCGCAATCCTGTGGCACGACGGCAATATCGTCCCTGAACTCAGTTCCTTCCCGTCCCATGATGTCCATGCCGTCGATCTCGACAGTTCCACTCGAGGGCGTGTACATGCGCTGCACGAGAGACATGATTGTCGACTTGCCAGCTCCCGAGGGTCCCACAAGGCCACAGAACTGGCCGCTCTGGATAGTAAAAGACATACCCTTGAGAATAGGGATGTGAGGGCGAGCTGGATAGGAGAAGCCCACGTCCTTGAAGGTAATGGTAGTTCCTTTCTGTCCCGGCGTGGCCTTCTTTGAAGACTCCGCGGCAGCCTCGATATCCTTCTCACCTTGGGTAGCTGTTGAGCCAGAAACGGCCAGTGCCTCCTTGGGAGAGAGATCGTGAGCGGAGCTGAGGTCGATCAAGCTGAGAATGCGCGATGCGGCTGCGCGAGCTCGTGACACCTCGGGCGCAAGACTGAACATCTGGCCCCAGAGCTGAGCACTGACAAGCATGCAAATGAGGATGATGAAGAACTCAGTCTGTGTAGCCTCGCCGGCAGTGATTCTCTTTGAACCCCACCAGTAGGCGAGTGCGTAGACGAGACCGCCGGCGCTGTTTGAGATGGCGAGCCATAGGTTGGTGTACGCGCTGGCTAGTGCTACCTCCTTTCTTGGAGCCTTGAGTGCGCGGCGGTAGCAGCCCATGAGCTCATCCTCGAGTGAAAGCGACGAAACCGTCTTGAAGGAGTTTACAGCCTCGACTGAAATCCCCACGGCGTTGGAGAAAGCATTCGCGTGCCTTCGCTCAAAGCTTGCCAGCGACCGCATCTGCATAATTCCAGAGCCAAGGAGAATTGGCATTGTGACAAGGCAGACGAGCGCAATTTTCCAGTTGAGAATGTGCGAGAGAATGACAGCAATGACGAAATTGATGGAAATAGAAAACATGGTTCCCATGATGGAGCCACTGAAGGCTCCGACAGCGGCAGCATCTGTAGTGATGACGGAAAGAAGCGAGGTCGCGGTGCGGCCTCCGGACTGATGCCATTCCAGTCCTTGCTCATACAATGAGCGGAAGGATAGAACGCGGATCAAGTACAAAAGCTTCTCGGCCACATAACCAAAACCAGACCAGCTCAGAGTATAGGCAAACACCTCTACCACGGCAAGCATGAAGAACATGCCGCCGAACAGCTTGCCAGCCCAGCGAATCTCGCTTTCAGGCTTGCAGGGGCTCACATGGTTGACTGTGTTTCCGAAGATGAGACCGGATGCTGTGAACGTGGCACCGACGATGAGCGCAGCGCACATGGCGATGATGATCCAGAAAAGATCGGGCCGGGCCATGCGGCCGACGCTCTTGGTAACGAACCAGGCGGATTTCTCAGAGTCGAGATCAGCCACGTCGGCGGGTTTGGCTTCGTCTGCGCTAGAGCCGGATTCTGGGGATTCTTCCTTCTTCTCGTCTTCCTTGTCCGTGTCTTCGAGAATGGCCTTGGGCTTTGCTTCTAGGATAGAGTCCTTCTCGTCGGCATCGCCCCTGGCAGTGCTGGTGAGCGACGGCGTATCGTCGTTCTTCTTTGCCTCGATGTTCTGGAGTCGAACCATGCTGGCGTATGCGCCATCCAAAGCCATAAGCTCCAGGTGAGTACCCTGCTCAACGATCAGACCACTGTTCATGACAATGATGTTGTCGGCGTTCTTGATCGTTGAGAGTCGGTGGGCGATGGAAATGAGGGTCCTGTCCTTGGCAATTGACTCGACTGCCATTTGAATGCGGTGCTCACTTGCAGAGTCGAGGGATGCGGTAGCTTCATCAAGGATAAGAATCTGCGGGTCACGGATGAGTGCTCTAGCCAGGGCGATTCTCTGCCTTTGGCCACCGCTCACGAGCTTACCACCAGTGCCGACGAGAGTACCGTATCCGTATTCGAGCCTGTCTATGAAACCAGAAGCATCTGCCAGAGAGGCTGCGTGGCGTACAAGCTTGACCAGCTCCGCAACACCCTCGCCATGGGACAGGGCGACTTCGTCGATGTCCTTGCCCTCTCGAAGTTTGGCTGCAATCTCAGCTAGGTCGGATCCGAGGATGATGGGCTGGAATTTCTGGTGGTCTGATTGGGGAGAGTTGACGATTCCTAGGGCAATATTCTCGAGGATGGAACGATCAAGCAGAGACGGTTCCTGCTGGACTAGGCTCATGAAGCTTCTCAGGTTTTTGACATTGAGCGTTCGGAGGTCGTGGCCATCGAGGAAGACGGTTCCTTCTGTCGGATCGTACAACCTGGCTGTAAGTCCGGCGATGGTTGATTTTCCACTTCCAGAGAGACCGACGAGAGCAGTGTGCTTGCCCGCAGGACACTCAAAAGACACGTTCTTCAGCACGGGCCGGTCAGGTCGAGAAACATAGGCAAATGTGATGCCTTGGAATGAAAGGTGACCGGAAATGGGGACCTGCAGCTTCTCGCCTTCGTCGGAGCTGGAATCAATGGCGGCGCGGCTGTCGATGTCCTGCCTCAGCTTGTAAAAGGAGGCGCCGGCCGAGCCAAGGATGGGGAGAATAGGCGCAATGGAGCCGAGGATGATGCAAGCGTCGACGAGCAGGAAGATGACGGTGTAGATCTTGCCCACGGAGACGCCGGAATCGTCATGAGTAGCTGCAGCAATCTGTACACTTCCTTGCCAGAAAGCCAGAGCATTGGCCGAATACGCAATGAAGTAGAGCATGCCAGCCTGGGCGCCAGCGACGAGAGCCTTCCTGATCCCCCATTTCCGGGCATCCAGCATGCGCGCAGCAAACTTGGTCTCAAGCCGGGGTCCAGCGCTGAAAGCTTGGACAACAGCGATGTGCGAGAGGGATTCCTGAGCGATTGAGGATGCCGAGGCAATGGCGTCGGCCATGAGTGTCGAGTACTTTTGGGTGAAGAAGCTGCCGATGCCTGCGAGAATCAAGAAGGCCGGGATGAGGGAGAGGAGCATGCAGGCGAGCTTCCAGTTCTGCGTGAAGGCGACGATGTACGACGTCAAGAAGAAGGCGGTGCATGCGAGGACGACACCGACCTTCTCAGAGGTGCCGGACTGGACAGCCTGGATGTCAGCGTTGAGCCTGGTGGCGAGCTCACCAGCTTGTCTCGAGTCGTAGAAGGTGGCGTCCTGGCGGAGGAGCATGTGGAAATAGCGATCGCGCAACCGCGTCTCCAGGCGACGGCTGAAGATGCTCCATGTCACCGTGTAGATGTAGATGAGGGCGAAGTTGGCAATGCCGGCATATGTCAGGATAAGGACCTTGGAGTCGACTGAAGCTTGGACTTCCTTGGGGTCGACGCTGCTGCTTGATTCCTCCACCGCGCAGGTTGCGGTGTTGAGCTCATCGACAAGCTGACCAAAGATGATACCCATAAGTGGGAAAGGCACGCCGGACCCGATGGCGCTCAGTGTGCCGACAAGCAAAAGAACGTAGTCGATCCATTTCGGATTCGCATAGACCAGAAGTTGAAAGTAGGTAAAGAAGGATTGGGATGCTGGCTGTGTTTGTGTAAACAGATGGTAAGTGGGACTGCAGACATTGGATGGCTCGAAGGGATATCTAGCGACGTACCTGGGCCTTTGAGACGGACTTGGCATCATCCTGGGAGGAAACCTCGACAGCAGCTGTCTCCTTTGAGGGCTGCTCTGTCGATCCAGAGGGTTGCTCCGGCGGCGCAGGTGTGGGTTGCTCCGAAGAGGCCATGATGGGAACGGCGCGACTTGTCTTTTGGCCGTGCCTGACCTTTCAACACATTCCTAGAGCAAAGAGGGAGAGGATAGGAAACCGAGATGGGATCTGGGAAGAGGCGTCTACTGAATAGGTATCTGAAATTTTGGGCGATCGGTTGGCTTATCCCTTCGCCAGCTGCGGGCTCCATCGAGCTGGAACTCGGCACGCGCCATCACTGACGACGGTCCGGAGGCTAGCGAGTAGGCCTGCATGGTAACCTGGTTGATGAGCCCTCTAGCTGGAATGAGCTAACCTGGGGCCAGCCTGGATGGATACATATACTTTTGTCATCACGGTGGGAACTGCCTACTCGGATCGGGGTGTGTGGTGTGGAAAATTGCTCCCTCGGCCAGTGCACATGCGTGACAGACCATGATGCCGTGGGTGGATCGTCGCAGCAGGGGAGGACAATGGCTGCTCCACGCCCAGTGCCGGCACCCACATGCATGCGAGCAGCAATTGGCCTGAAAAGGTTCCTGCGACTGAGCAGACGAGCGGTGCCAGGTCGACAGAGCTGCGGTGCTGCATGCGGAGCAGGGCAGAGAGGAGATGGACACTGGCGGGCAGGCGAGATGACCGCCAAGATGTAGCGGTACCCGAGCGGTATGGCTGACCTAATTAGGAAGAGGAAGAGAAGGCACGTTCTCAGGGCCAGAGAGAGCCTGCTGGGGTCTGGGCGGTACGACGAGAGCCGAGTTTCCTGCGCTGTGCGAGCGGCGGTCGATGTGGCTTCGGCTTCATCTAGGGGTCGGGCGAGTGGGCCGATGACGGCGCTTGGCGACTGAGTTTTCGGATCAGATAATTCTGCTTGGACAGGTGAGGCAAGCTAAGCAGAGCCGGCAGACGAGGCAGAAGAAACTCCATGTACTTGCCAAGGCCGGTTAGACTCTCATTTGCTGTCTTACGTAGTACGAACACGGAGATGGAGGGCATTGGGCCATCCAGGGCCTGTAAATTTGGAAGTAAACACCTGTGCTATAGGGCGGGCCCAGCTTCATTATCAATCAGCTTCTGCCCATCCAGAGCTCAAGCAGCGTTGGACCACATAGTATGTTTGCGGAGTCTTGGGCTTCCGTGTTCCGTGTGGAACAGCTGCTCCACCCACCTAACAAATTTGAGAAATGGCGAAAGAGAAGGAGAAAAAAGGAGCCCCCGAAAATGGCTCAAGCCCTCCCTGGGTCGTAAGTGGGCTGGCTTCCCCAACAGCTTCCATTCTGTCCTGCGACCTCTCCCTGTCCCATCCCGCCTCGTTTCCTGATCGGATCGGTACGAGTCAGACTTCTAAAAGGGATGCAAGAGAAGGGGTTGTTTCGGCCTCAGCTCTCCTTTCCTTGCTTATTGCACCGAGACATCCGGATCTGATAACACCAGCTCCGAGCCGCCACCCACCCCACCGCTGTCGGATCAGATAACTTGTTTGATCTGATAACTCTAAAGCGCGGCGTTGGTCTTGGCTTTGGATCCCTTGTACCTGTACCAGCCGCACCAGCACTGCCCCCTCGGCGATTACCTGGAACTTTTTCTGATATACCAAGACCCAATTTCCCATCAAGGATCCTGCTGTCTTGGCCGTCCCCGTGACCGACTTTTTTTCCCTACGCAACAATTGTGCAGGGCGCACCGGTATAGAAAAAAACTTGAGTGAGGGGCAGTTCGCCTATGATCGGAAACCGAAGTCTGGATGAAACTGATTGCCCCTCGTGGACCAAACATAGTGCTGGGCGGCCTCCATGCTAGTGATCTTCGCTGTCTATCAGGCATGTATCTGGTTAGATACGTAATACCGGTAGCAGATAGTATTATTTAACACTCAAAATTGTAAATCTCCCACCCGGCAATAGCAGCCCAAGTCCTGCTCCATGTACAACGACCTCCCTGCCTGATACAAGCCTGCGAGACAACCTACCACGTTCCCACCCACCCCCTTCTTGTCCCTGCTGCCTCATGCCGCCATTTTCAACGACTCTCCCGCGGCTGTTGTCCTCCCACTCCCGGCTGCCGTCATTGCTGTCCTCGACGGTGGGGCTCTATCTTGCTCTCCCCCACCGCATCTCACCCGCCTCATCTACTGGCTCCGCCGACAGACTTCTTAACTGCTTCCCTTCCCCTTCCTTTTCGCCCTCCCGGCCTGTCTCTTCTATCGCTTCTCGTGCCACCTTCCCTAGCCGGTCCTTTGCCTCAGTCTCAAACCCTCGCCCAGCCCTGACCATGCCTGCCCTGACACAAACCCCCCCGACCGTCAAGGTCTTCATCGCCGGAGGCTGCTATGCCGGCCTGTCGGCTGCCCTCAACCTGTGTGATCTCGGCCAGGGCCGTTCCCCACGCATGTCTGGAGTCGAGTACCCCCATCACCCAGACCTGCCCGAGGTTAACTTTGACATCACTATCGTCGACGAGAGGGATGGTTACTGTAAGTTGAGTCTTTGTCTTGAACTTCCTTTCTAGTCATCTCCACCTAGTGTGATCGAAGGTCGCCCGCTTACTCGGGGATTTTTGTTTAATTTAGATCACCTGATCGGATCTCCTTTGGCCTTTGCCGATTCGGACTACGCCAAGAAGGCCTGGGTCCGCTACCAGGACATCCCAGCCCTCCAGAACTACACCAATATCAAGGTTCTCCAGGGCAGCGTCTCGTCCGTGGACCCGGAGAACAAGACTGCCACCATCGTTGACAACGCCACCAAGCTGCCCAGCTCTCACAGCTATGACTACTTCGTTGCTGCCACCGGCCTCCGCCGTGTCTTCCCCGTGGTCCCCCAGTCCCTCACAAGGAAGCAGTATCTCCTTGAGGCGGAGGAGCAGATCTACTCCGTCCAGAACGCCAAGGATGGAGTTGTCGTCGTTGGTGGCGGAGCTGTCGGTATCGAGATGGCAGCAGAGCTGAAGATGATCAAGCCTGATGTCAAGGTCACCCTGGTCCATTCCAGGGCGAAGCTGCTCTCCGCGGAGGCTCTGTCCGACGAGTGCAAGGACAAGGCTCTCGAGCTCGTTCTCGAGGCCGGCGTCGAGACCCTCCTGGAGCACCGCCTAGCCTCCTCCAACAAGGTCGAGAACCCAGACGGCACAAGCAAGTACGAGATTGAGTTCACCAACGGCCACAAGATGGTTGCTAGCCAGGTCGTCATGGCCATCTCCAAGAGTGTGCCTGCCACCGGCTACCTGCCAGCTTCCGCCCTCAACTCTGAAGGATATGTCAAGATTGAGGCCAAGTAAGTTCTTATTTCTACCCCGTTCAGCACAGGAATAGTGGCCCCCCTTTTTGAATAACCAAACTAACAAATTCTAGCCTCCGCCTGGCCTCGGACACTCCAAATGCCAAGTTCCACTTCTGCGGTGGTGATGCGGTTCAATGGTCCGGCATCAAACGATGCGGCGGAGCCATGCACATGGGCCACTACATTGCGTACAACATCCACCAGTCCGTCATCCAGGAGCGCGGTCTCAAGGAGGCCAAGTTTCAGGAGCTTGGGGAGATCCCTGCCATGATTGGTCTTGCCGTTGGCAAGAAGGCTGTAGCTTCTGGTCCCGAGGGTACAGTCTCTGGCGAGGATGTCATGCAGGCCTACTTCCGTGACGACCTCGGCTGGACAAGTAAGTCATCATTATACGTGACTTAATGCAAGACTATGCTAACCGATATCTTTATAGTTTGCTGGGACTACATGCAGCTGGGCGGAAAAAAAGAGGAAAAAAAGGAGGAGAACTGAGTGCGAGACTATGAGTTTATGAGTATAGCATATGATCGACTGGCGTTTTTGTGGTAAGGGGCCCAGTAGCAACTGCGTTGCCCCCTTTCGGACTTTTTTTCTTGGATATCATTATTATATACATCAGACCGGTCTAGAGATCATAAGATTTGGTTTTAGTCTCTTAATTTATCAATAAGATGTTCCAACTCGCTCTCCGTCGTCCACTTGGGTTGCTTGGTAGAGGAAGGTACGTTTTTCTATCGGAGAGACGCATCGTTTCTAGAAGCTATGGTGGAATATTTCGAAACTGTAAAAGGCAGAGCCTTGCAGTAATGTGTTTTCAATGGAACCAGTTTTGGGTAAGGTAACCACGTAACCACTTCTCCGGAATCGTACCAAGGGTCCGATAACCTAGAGATCTTAGATGCAAGATCCATCTTTGATCTACACTATATTGCTACAGTACCATCAACTCCGCATTCTCTTCTCGAATACTAATAAGTTGACGTAACACAAATACCCAAGGAAGCAACAGGGCAAACCTTACTATTATTATCTTAACTGTTTCATTTTTTGTTGTTTAAGGCAAAGAGTACCGCGCTCGTTTTGCAACTGGTAGCAAAAATAATTCCTTCGTGGGTATTGAAACAGGACCATACGGTTTATATATCAGTAGTAGCCTTGTTTTATGAGACACCAGCCTGGGTCTATCCCTATCATGGCTTTTATGATGATCATTTTCTCCCTTTATTAAGTTTAATTCTTCATCTTTTTTTGTAGAACCACTTCTGTATTCTCTCATTTTTTATCTAGCCCTATCATCTGCGAGAGGACATCCAAATTAAATGACAAGTCCCTTGACTTGCTTCTTCTCCTTGACATCGATATCCCTCCACATCGCCACGGCACCAAGCCCAACAACCAAGATGCACGTCGCCCCAATCAACATGTAGCGCTGCCCCTCAGCGTACGACTCCTGGATGGCGATCCGCGCAGGCGTCCCCTCGAGGTACGACAGCTGCCTTGTCAAATTACCATAAATAAGCAGCAAGTTGGGCTGCTCGTCCTCGGGCAGGTGCCTCGCCAGCGCCCTGGGAAACACGTTCTGCCAGATGGCCGAGGAGACGGTGGACCCGATGGCGCCGCCCACGTTGGAGAACATGGACTCGACGGCAATAACAACAGCGACGTGCTGGTGGCTGGCGGCGGCCATGGCGGCGACCTGCTGGGTGATGACGGTGGTGCCCCCCGCGAAGGCGATGAAGATCTGGCACATGACGACGTACCCAATGTTGACGTCGGGCTGGCGGAAGCGGATCATGAGACCCGCCCCCAGCATCATGAGGGGCACGCCGACGTAGAGGGCGAGCCACTTGAAGCGCCCCGTGTAGCGGATGGCGAGCCCCACGATCACGCCCCAGAAGCAGGAGCCGATGCTGTAGATGCTGGCGACGTAGGAGGACTCGGTGATGGTGAGGCCGTTGACGACCTGGAGGAAGGAGGTGAAGTAGGAGTTCCAGATGTAGAAGCTGACAAAGGTGGTGCTCGCGAGGACGCAGGCGCCCAGGACGGTGCGGTCCGTGAGGAGGGAGTAGGGGATGAAGGTGACGGGGGCGAACCACTTCTCCCACACGGCGAAGGCGACGATGAGCAGGCCGCCCAGGACGATGAAGGCGATGACGATGGGGGCCTTCCACCCCAGGGGCTGGAGGGTGTAGATGTTGAAGGAGAGGAGGAAGAGGGAGAGGCCGGCGGTGATGAGCAGGAGGCCGAGGGCGTCGAATTCGCGGCGGTGGTGCCAGATGGACTGGAGGATAGTGCGGTCGCTCTTTCGTTCGGGGAGGAGGCCTTGCTTTCTGGCTACCTTGAGGTAGTGGACGAAGAGGACCCAGAGTGGTAGAGTGATGACTGGAGTGATGATGCAGAAAACGCCGAATGCCCATCGGAAGCCAGGGCCGTTCAGGAAAGCAGTTGAGATAGGACCAGAGAGCCACATCGTGATGATGTCTGTTAAAAGGGAGAGTGTCAGTCACGGAGAGATGTCGCATACAAAGAGGAGAGGGTTTCTTACATGGAGAGTTGGAATAGGCAAACATCAGACCTCGATTCCGGAGGGAAGAGGTGTCAGCGATGAAGATAGTAAGGCAGTAGCCAATTCCGTTGTATCCGACCCAATAGAAGACTTGCGCCGCTGCGTACATCTCGACATCTCGACAGGCGGCCATCATGATCAGACCCAAGGTTGTGAGGATAACGCAGATCAGATATCCAGTGGGGCGGCCCAAGACGTCGAGAATCTTAGCCAGCGTCAACCTGGAAACACCACCAATGATGCCACTGATGATGCCAACGGTGGGAGTAAGCGAATGGCTTGAGAAGGCAGAAGTAACGTATGGCGTAAGAGCACCAGTTGTGCCTTGCTGCATACTATCGACGAAATCTAAGTTGGTCTTATCAGTACACACTCTCTCGTCTGCTTCCTTCTCCTCTACTCTTTCTACAGGGCCTTAGACTTACAGATAATCCAAATCCAGATATAGGCAAAGATCAGAGCTCCCTTGGTCCAGACATTAGTCGTAGCCTCGATCTGCTGGACACCAGCCTGGGCATCCGCAGTGATGGGCTCGTCGCTATCCCAACCTCCCTGAGCATCTGCTTCTGTCTTGGTCACTGTTGCTTCTTCCTTTCTGATGGCGGCGGTGTGGAAGTCATCGCTTAATCTGTTGGCTTGTGCCACTTCGGGCGATTCACGACCCATGATGAAGGCTTTCCTTGATGCTGTGTTGGAATTAATTAAAGATTAGGAGTGTATGTATTTGCAAAAGAGTAAGATCCTGGAACAAGTCCCGGTTGCACGGAGGATGAAACAAAAGACCAGCCTGCGGAACGAAGGACGTCTGTGTGTTCTTATACCCAGGTTGTCTTTCAAAAATAGCTTTCCCACGCGACGAGACCAAAAAGCTTGGCTGCATGTCAGAAAAAGATGCTGGGTTCTAGACTGGGTGGGAAAGATGGCCTTGTTTGTAGCGTCACCTTCTCGCATCTAATCTTATCCCCCTCTCCCCTCCTCACCTTATCCCATGGATGTTCTAAAAACCACCCTGCTTCCGTCTCTCAGGTCGCTAGAGGCCCTGCGGTATGCCCATGAGATGACCGGGGCGCATTCCTTGGTTTGTTGCCGGCCGGTCAGTGTAAGCTGCAGCCAGGTGAGACTTGAACCGATCAGTGGCGTCTGCATGGAACAAGCCAGGGAATGTTCCTCGAGGACCCGGTGATTTGATTGGCACCCCGACCAGTGGTATTCTCCGGCGAACTCCTGCATGTTTCTCGCTGGGAGTCTTGGCTGGCTTATGGGACTAACTGGTACCATTGAAACTGTATCAACGCCAAGATAGAAGATTTCACTGCTGGTTGGACAACGACCGCGAGTGACTAGAAAATACATCTATTGAAGCCAAGAAAAGAAAACTTTTTCCTATAGAGGACCAACCGTGGATGGATCCCTCGTGGGAACAGGCCCGAACAGGTGGAGGATTTCAGATAAACTGAAAAAGGTAATTTGGGTTAGGCTCTTGGCTTATTCCTCCAAAGGACTCATCTCTGCTGCTTCATAGGCTGTCAGCTGGGCGAGACCCTGCTGGTTCGCGTGAGAGAACCCCTGCTCGCCCAGGTGAGGTGATTTTTCTTTATGCTTATCAGGTCCGACCCCAAACTATTGGATTTCCCCCAAACCAGAGACGCAGTGTTCTGGGTAGCAAAATTTCCGGGGACCCTGGAGAAGCTGCTGCCTGGACTGGGCACCAGCCCATCTATTCATGGCCTTATGACCTGCAATTGTCGGGGTGGCCGTGGTCGAGAGCGACGTGCCAGTGTGAGGACGATAATTAGGTCCTCGTACGACGGGCATGCTGTGATTGGGTAAGGGTGTTGCAGAGAGCAATATTTTACACTGGAAGCTAAGTAAAGGAAGTAGAGCGATGGATGATTACGGAACGGTTCATGGCTGGCTGTTGATGTCTGGCATCCCAATGAACAAGGCAAAAAAGTTTTGTGTCGTGGGAATGTTTGACGGGTCGGATGACTTCTTGGAGACCGCTTAGGATGTCATCTTATCCTACAAACTGAGTGGCTACTTCGTGTGAGAGGACGGGATGGTCTTGGAGGTGAGACGCGGCGCTGCATCTTGATTCCGCTGAGGAGACCGATGAACCAACGAACGGCCAGCATTCCAAGGAGGACAAAAGCAGCTTTCAAAGGTCCTCTACAGGACATGATGGAATGCGACGGGCATGATTTCCATCTGTAGGGACTCTAAAAATCGTTGTGGAGCGACAACATAGTCCGATCAACGATCTGTCTGGACCAAAGTTGCTAGAAATCATGAGGGGATCGTATCACTCCATTATCCCATTGCTTTGGTTACCTAAAAAGAACGAATGACCCGCGGAGTGCGAAGCGAGGCAAATGGCCAAAATCTGGACAGATGGGGTGGGAAAAAGCAAGTGAGAGGAAAAGGATTGCGTATGTACCAGCTACGACCGGCAACTGATTGATTGATTAATTAGCGCCAGCCTCCACCATAAAATTTTTATCAGATCCGGCGCCACGCTAGAAAATCACGGCGCCGGTGGTCGGAGGCCGACAGAGAAGCCAGTTAGCCCATGCGCTATGCTGGACCTCGGCCTGAGGCACTAGCCCCCTAGAGTGATCTGATAAGGGTTAGGTTATCAGATCCGCACCGTCTTACCTAATCCCTGGTTGTTTCACCACGCTTTGGGAATAGTGCATGGGAAACTCGTACTGGTACTTGCTCGCCTGCTGAGGGCAAATTGGCAGGGTTTTTGCTCTGCAATTGACAGAAGGGGAGACTGCTTTGCTCTGCGACAGGGCTCGCCCTGGTCTATATACGCGATGCGAGCCCATGAGGACGTGAGGGATTATTCCCCCTCCCTGTGAGCACCTATGCCCAGGAGAGAAAGTAGTTGTTGAGCGGGTGCATATGGTGGATGGTGGATGGAGGGCTGGTGGGTTGATCCATGCCCGTCGTCTGTGGCTCGACTCTCTCTCGGCTCGTACTGGTACTTGGAAAGGCGTCATGGATCTTCTGGGGCCGGGCTTCGCTTCTAACTCGAGATGCTTGGCACAGTCACCTGGACGGCCTTCCCTTCCGAGACGGGCCACTTGGTCGCCGTCCTCCTCCTGTTCAAACTCGGAGTACAGGAACATCGACTTTCGGGGTGGAGGACCCAGAAGGGGGGTGTCCATATACAAAGCTGTGGATGACTGGATATCCTGATCTTTACCGGCACTTGTTCCAAGCTAGTCGCCCCTCTGTGGCTCCATGATGTGTACCAACACAGCAGGATGATGTCGATACCTGCATGGCCGGCGCCGCTGGCTGCTCATTGCCGTTGCTGGTTTGGCTGGCGCACATTGCAGTAGCTCCAGGAGCTGGACCTGGAGCTGAGGTGTCACTTTAGCCCAGATTGATAAGCCGACAGCTGGGGGAGGGCATGCATGCTGTGGTAAGGCTGTTCCGAGGGAAGCTCGTCATGCGTTGCGTGCTCCCGCAGTTTTCTTTCTTTGTTTACTTACTTATTTTCTTTCTTTGCCTCCTCTCTGCTACTTTGTGATAGAGAACTGGGACTCACGATACGGCCCGACCCTCCCCACGTTTTCAGATCAAATACTGGCCCCCAAGTAATCGTCAATTGGCTCAGCTCTGTCTGGAAAAGACACCCATCATGTCGCTGATTTCGCTAAGCTCCGTCTCTCCAGATGAGACAATCATCAAGCTCCCCCACCCGTATCTCACCGAGTACGCTGTGAAGAAGGTTCCGTCACCATCAGGCAATGATGCCCAGTTCTTCCAGCTCGCCTTGAGACCAAGCACGAGGTCTCACAACAAGCAGCCATCGTTCGAGCTTCATAATTCCAACCTTCGATTTACCGAGCCCACCGATCTCAAGTCCAGTGAAGCCCCTCCCCCATCCAACAACGGAGCATGGGGACGAGCAAGACGGTCGCCAGCTGTTGCTGTCAACTGGGAGAGCAGCTCGGCCCCTACGCTTGCCCAGGCTTGGCTGCTTCTCTATCTTCTCTTCACAGTTCGCCCGTCAATGGAATCAGTCCGTCTTGAGCTTAAGGGCCGTGATGCGAACCGCCTTGGCCAGCAGCTTCAGGATGTTCTCCTGGCCATTGACCACCCTGCGCCCCCAAAGACAGTCTCTGCTCCTGCGCCCTCGACAAACCCCGACGAGAAGGTTGTTCTAGCTTTGCGAAGCACCTTCTGGCAAGGTGCCGGCTCCCCCTTTGGTCCCCGCCCTGTTTGGTGCCCCGACGAGTCTCCTTCCTCGCTGCCCAAGTCCACCCCATTGGCCTCATACCCTCTCACGCCGGTTCAACATACCATTTCCGTCGCCTCAGCCGGTGATCCTCAAGATCCAGATCGCTACCAGCAAGCGTGGCATCCTGTCCGCCCCGCCAAGCCCGCTCCCGGTGCCACCATCTACAGCCGCTACATCCCCCATCTCAAGGAAACCTTCTCCATGGTCTCCCTTGACTGGGAGGACGCAGAGCACCTTCGCCTCTTCCACGAGTGGCAGAACGACCCCCGAGTCTCCCAGGGCTGGAACGAGACGGGCACCCTCGAGCAGCACCGCGAGTACCTGCGCAAGATCCACGTCGACCCCCACCAGGTCGCCGTGCTTGCCAAGTGGGACGACACCTACTTCGCGTACTTTGAGATCTACTGGGCCAAGGAGGACCGCCTGGGCGGCTACTTCGATGCCGGAGACTTCGACCGCGGCCGACACTCTCTCGTCGGCGATGTGCGCTTCCGCGGACCGCACCGTGTGTCGGCCTGGTGGAGCAGCTTGATGCACTACCTCTTCCTCGACGACCCGCGCACGACGTACGTCGTCGGCGAGCCCAAGGATACCAACTCGACTGTCGTCATGTACGATCTCATCCACGGATTCGGGCTTGACAAGTTTGTTGATCTGCCTCATAAGCGCAGCGCTTTCGTGCGCTGCTCCCGCGAGAGGTTCTTCCAGCTTTGCCCGTTGCATGAGAGTGAGAAGGCTGTGGGTGGAATGAGGATTGGACTGGTCCCCAAGCTGTAGAATACGACATCGTATGGATTGATTTAGGCTTGGTGCCATTTATTGAAAAAGAGTCACTGAAAATGATACCGATAATTTCCTAGTAGAATTATGAAATGTAAAGAAAAAAGCAAATTAAAAATAAAACCGGGCTCTGCTTATCTATTCGCTATAAACTGTTGGTCCTGTTCTCCTCGCTTTGACACTCGTAAGACCGTAACTTTTCACTCTACATGTATCTGATCTATCACGCCTCTTCTATTGAGCGACATCACATCTAACTCCCTTTTCAGAACACAATCATACCTCAATATTACCCTTTTACAGCTTGGAGGTAGTGGTCTGCTTGCGCAGCAACTCATCTCCCAGCTTCGCCATCTCAAACTTGCGCACCTTTCCGCTCCCCGTCAGCGGCACCGTGGACGGCACGCCCCCCTGCCCCAGCCAGAAGACGTGCGTGGGCGCCTTGTGCTTGCCGAGCTGGTTCCGCACCCAGTCCCTCAGCTCCGCGTCGGTGGGCTGCGCCGAGCTCTCACCCAGCTCGACAAAGGCCCCCACGACCTCGCCGTAGTGCTTGTCCTTGAGGCCGACGACGACGGCGCGGGAAAGAGCAGGGTGGGCCATGAGGCGCTCCTCGATCTCGAGCGGGTAGATGTTCTCGCCGCCGCGGATGATGATGTCCTTGAAGCGGCCCGTGATGCTGCAGTACCCCTCCTCGTCGAAGACGGCCTCGTCGCCCGTGTGCAGCCACAGGACCCCCGCGGCGTCCCGGACCATGACCTCGTTGGTCTTCTCCGAGTTGTTCCAGTAGCCCGCCTGGAGCTGGTAGCCCGCGATGCACAGCTCGCCGCGCTCCCCGACGGGCAGGATGTTGCCCTCGCGGTCGACGATCTTGGCCTGGGCGTGGGGCATGAGGGTGCCCACGGTGGTGAGCCGCCTGTGCATGGCGTCGTCGGTGAAGGCGTTGAAGCAGGTCGGCGAGGCCTCGGTCAGGCCGTAGCTGCTGGTGAACTCGGTCATGCCGAAGCGGTTGACCAGGAGCTCCATCAGGTACCGCGGCACCGGCGCGCCGGCGATGATCCCCGTTCGGAGGTTGTCGCACTGGAAGCCCTCGGGGAGCTTGGCCTGGAAGAGGGAGTCGAACATGGCGGGGACGCCGTGGACGGCGGTGCAGTTCTCGTCGGAGATGGCCTGCAGCGTCGAGGGGATGTCGAAGACTTCGGCGGGATACACGATCTTGCCTCCGTGGGTGACGATGGCGAGGAGGCCGAGCACGAGGCCAAAGCAGTGGAACAGTGGTGGTGGGCAGCAGAGGATATCTGCTGAGGTCAGTCTCATTCTGTCGCCGATGAACCGGGAATTGTTGACCAGGTTGCTATATACGATGTTAGTGGCTGCTCGGCCGCGTCTATCTCGCTTCTTTTCACTCACTGGTGGGTGAGCATAGCTGCTTTGGGCAAGCCGGTCGTGCCGCTTGTGAACTGCAGGTTGACAACCTGATGTGGGAGGACCTTGCTCATGGCTCGGTACAGTGCCTCGTGGCCCTTTCGCTGCCGAGAGCTGATCAGGTCCTGGTACGACGTGTACCCCTCCGAATCACCTCGCAGAATTACCACCTTGCGGCTGATGCCCTCCTCATTGGCCACCGCACTCAGGAGCCTGCTGTTGTCGACCCGGTCACCAATCTTCTTGGTGGTGAAGAAGACCTTGCAGTCGGAGAAGGTCAGGCCGTACATGGCCTCGGTTGGCGTGTAAGTGTTGTTCAGGATGACGAGGATGGCTCCAATCTTGGCCACGGCGAAGAAGACGGCGGCATACTGTTCGCAGTTCCCAGCCATGATGCCGACGCGGTCACCCACGCCGATGCCCATGTCGAGGAGGGCTTCGGCCAGGGACGAGCTCTGCTGGTTGAGATCATTGTACGTCCAACGGGCCCCAGTCCAGGGAATGACGAGAGCTTCCTTGGTGCCGTACTGGTACGTTTGGAGCTCTAGCAGCTCGCCGAGGGTCAAGTCGACGAGTGGAGGGTCGTTCGAGCCGTGTAAGAGCGAGAGCTTCGACTTGGTCGGCACGACGCCCGACTGGATTGTGGTGGGCTCGACTGCCATTGCGTTTTAATTCACCTTTGCTTTTCTCAAGTGATCTTCTCCCTCCGGTCTTCGGGAGCTTTCAATCCTGAGAGATTACTTGGGCGTGTGATGTTTTTTGAGGAAAAGGAAAAAGCAATTAAGAAGCGTCTACTACATCAATTCCAGGAATCCAGGAGTGCGGTTGACTCGCTTGCAAATCACTTCTGCATGGAGCCGAAAATGATGAACACAGCTGGCGTCAGTAGGGCCCTCACAGATCCCCACTGGCTGGATGTCCTAATGACGTGCAATGCAGGGCCGGATACCTCATTGAAAGAAGAAAGGTGCGAGGAAAATAGCTCGTCTTGACGGCCTGGCTGCTTACCCTCCTTCGTGCAGCCGATGCTCGCTCGCCAGCCAACTACGAAACTATGAGAAACTGGGGCCATCATGCCTGCTATTCTCTCGGGTCTCTCCGTGATCCATTGATGCCTTCAATGCCGAGCAACTCAATCGAGGGCAGCTCCGATATTGGCCGAGGCGAGGAAAAATCTTGGTCGAATCAGCCCCCTACGCAAGATGCACGACGCCGTTCTTGGGTCCGATCCAAGTGAGGAAGCCCGGAGTCGAGTCCAACCCCGTCGAGGGTGTGATTTGCAAAGCCAGAGGCAAATACGGGCACCATGTAGGTACCTAGTTTCTGGTCCAGCACCAGCGGTTGATGTTTTTCAGACAGGGGTAAGGGGCGTCAATCTAATCTGATCATCAGATAAGATCCAATCAGTCAAGTATCTCTACTTTGCCCTTTAGCGGGTCTTTTGGCTCCGTTCAGCCTCCCAGCTTCCGTCTGACGATTTCGACTCACCCCCTTATCCACATCCACGCCCTCCCCCCTGTCTGTGTGTCTGCAGCTTTTCGTTTTTCTTCTCTCTTGCCATCCACATCGAGCTCCTCGTTCTGGCTGTTCACTTGCTCATCCACCCTCTAATATCACCTACCCATCTCAACAAAGGACCCAAGTGGAGAGGGCTAGAGGGGGCAAAACAAGGCCATGATGAGGGCCTGCCTGCCTTGTTGCACGCGTTGCCCTCCACTAGCCCATTGGACAAGGCCAAATTAGCCTCACTGAAGGCATGAGGCATTTCTTCCTCGAGCGAGATGAGACGAGGCCATCGCCACTGCTACCCTTCCTGGCTGGCTTTCTCCTGCCTACCTACCCTTCTCTTTAGCTTACCGAATGGAACGTTCGGTGAATCTGCCCTTCCCTGACAGTATTCCTCCCTTCCTCGATCATCTTCGTTGCTGCAACCCCTGATCGACCTCTTTCCAGTGACCAGCCTTTCCCCCTGCGCAAGCTGCATGCCGTGCTATACTCACTCTACGTATATGTGCCGTGTGCCTGACGGAGCCTATGGGCCAGCTGGACCCTGACGTGCGCCGGCAGATTTCTGGGGACGAGGAGGGGCGAGAGGGGCGCCCTCCCTTGTCGGCATTCCTGGACCCGAGAGGCCCCAGGGCTGGCAGACAGGTCTTGAAAGGCTAGACAAGTCGTTAAGCCACCAGGGGGAAACGATCGTGCCGCGCCGTCCCCTTGCTCAAGCTCAGCTCGGCTGCAGAAACAACCGCATGTGATTTCCAACGCCGCTACTTCGCGCGCCAACTACTCACTATTTTTCGCAACTTGTACGAAACGGAAATACCGTACAGAATCTCAAGAGTCTAAGGGTTTCCTGCTTGGTCCTAGTAAAAGCTAGGATACTGTACATGTGCGGTTTGAGGAAGCCGGATCTCGCTCTGGGCTGACCCATGTCGTCATGTGGATGGACCGCGGCCTTGTTTTCTATTGCCTGGGTTTTACCCAATCTGTTTACTCTTGCTGCTAATGTTTCGGACGTTGCAGAGACTAACAGTTACTTGGCAACGGAAATCGTAGGTTGAGAGCCCGCCTCGTTGCGTGAAATATCACCTCCCTTGTCTATTCGACACACCATGTACCTGCCTATAACCAAGCCAGAGCACCTTTTGAATACTGCGGTGCAGTCTCGGCCTGAGTGACTAATTGGAACTAGGGTGAACCGCAACACCCAACGGCTGAGGTCATCAAAACGAGGTGTCATATGTCTTCAACGATCCCCGCCTTGGGGACTGGCCTGACCCCTAGCTCGAGCGTGATCGGCACACTTTCGCCTGGTGTGATCCGATCACTGTCTGTATCAGGCCTGCTGCACCATCCTAACTCTCAACTAACGCTCACTTACACAGGTGGCTTTGCCCACCAATGTCACCTGGTGGAGAAAGGTCGAGAGGAAATCTTTCTCTCGCCCCCCTCCCCCCCTCCCTTGTAATTGGCCTTTCCGTTGTCCGGACTCGGCAGGTGTTCGTCTAGCTTAACGGCTACCTACATGCCAAGAACGTACCGTGAAAGGCGAGGACAACTGTGTATAGTGGGCGGGATGGGGGTGCTTCTTGCCTCTTCGAGCCGGGGGCAGCAGGGAACAAGCCATGCGTTGCGAATATCCGGATTGCCATTACGAATAAGTCCGACCATGGGCTCATCTCATCGCGAAGCTCCCGTCCCAAGGTTCTCGTGTAAACTCTCTCTCATGCTTCATCTTGAATAAGCCTGTCGTGAACTTGCTCCCTCATTATTGGTTGTCTCCGTCTCCTTTCCTTCGTACATTCTTTTTTATTCTGAGAGCTCTCCATAGGAGGCAGCCATCCTCGCTCTCCTACACAGTCCACACGCTTTGTCTCAAACATGAGGATCGTAGATATCCACGGCAGTGGAGGCTCCGCGGAGAGAGCCTTCCAGGAGCCGGCGGCGAAGCAGCAGCAGACCATCCAGACTGCCTCCCAAGTGCAGGCACAAGAAAAGGAAGACGGGGCGGCGTCCGAGAAGTCTTCAACCTCAGTCACAACCAAGGATCTGGAGCAACTATGGCAGTGGAACGA